TGCAATGCAAAAAGAGGTGATTACATATTGTTCATTTGTTGACACACAAATTGGAAGAATGTAATGGCTGTGCGTGTGTATATGGTTGTGCCCATTTGATGTTTTGGAGTTTGTGGTTTGAATGCTTTAGGATTAAAAGTTTGATAGTCTTAATTACACGTATGTTAATTGAATGCGTTTCATGCTAATAGAATAACATTTGATAGCTTTTTTAATCCCATGGGAATTTTTCAACTTTTATAATGAGGTTAACAAGTTTAGTAACATTATTAACAACTTGAGTGATGATATTAATCACAAGTTTTTTGGGTAAGTTTAATTGTTTTTTTAATTTTTGTATAACTAGGTTGACAAGTCTATTAATATTATTAACAATTCTAATAACGCTATTCACCACATTGTATCAAAAAATTATACACTTGGAGAAATTAGAGAGTACAAACTTCACCAGAATTTTCAACTTTTGTAACGAAATTGACAAATTTAGTAACTTTATTAACAAGTTAAATAATGACATTAACCACAAACTTTTTAGGTAAGTTTAGAATTGGGAATTTTTCAAATTTTGTAATGACATTAACAAGTCTAGTATTGTTATTAATAATTCTAATAATGTCATTCACTATATTATCAAATGTTTTTATTACATTTGGAGAAATTAGTGAATGCCATACCTCATTGGAATTTTTCAACATTAATAACAAAATTGACAAGGCTAGTAACATTATTAACATCTTGATAAACTGCATTGACCACTACTTTTCTAAGTAAGTTTAAGACTGGGAATTTTTAACTTTTTGAAATGAGATTAACAAGTTCGATAATATTATTAACAACTTCAATAATAACGTTAACCGGAACTTTTTTAAGTAAGTTTAAAATTGACAAGTTTTCAACTTTTTATAATGAGATTAATAAGTTCATTAACATTAACAACTTCAGTAATATCGTTGACCACAATTTTTCTAGGTAAGTTTAAAACTAAGAATTTTTTTTGAACTTTTATAACGAGGTGGACAAGTTCAATAATATTATTAACAATTTGAGTAACGACATTTACTATAAGTTTTCCAAGTAAGTTTAACTTGAGATTTTTTAACTTTTATAACGAGGTTGACATGCCTAATAACATTACTAAAAACTCTAATAATGTCATTTACCACATTATATCATAGGTTGTTATAGTTGGAGAATTTAGTGAGTGTCAAGCCTCATGGGAAATTTTCAATCTTTGTAACGAAGTTGATAAGTTTAGTAATATAGTTAACAACTTGAGTAATGATATTAACCACAACTTTTTCAGTTATGTTTGAAACTAGGAATTTTTCAATTTTTGTAACAAGGTTAACAAGTTCAATAATATTATTAACAACTTTAGTAACAACATTAACTACAATGTTTACAAGTAAGTTTAAAACTTGAAATTTTTCAACATTACTAATGAGAATGAAAAGTTTAGTAATGTTATTAATAGCTTTAGTAACAGCATTAACTATAAGTTTTTCATGTATGTTTTGTAAGGAATTGGAAGACACAGCGGAAAATAACTTTAAAAATTTTCCAATCCCTTGCCCGGATCTATGGATTGTGTTTAAGTCAAGTAGTAAGAGGTGTTACCTACGGTATTCGAATCGTTGGTGGCTCAGGGATTCCGACGTTCGGGATGCCTATGCTCTCCTTTTGTTTGTGAGAAGTCAATAACTCAGATCGGCTTCCTTTACCGGTATCCACACGAACAGCGTTCCAATCACGAATGACATGCTAGCGCCTCTTGTCCTTCTAGGGCTTTTTGAGAATCCGTCCTCACTATTTCTATTTTGGTCGTTTCTTATCTGCAAACCTTTTGCTCTCTCACACACCTAAAACCCTAGCTCCTAAATATTAAATATATAGGATGCTATCAGTATTATGAAGGATATTGGATTTCAGAATTAATGCTAAATTAATTTCGAAATTAATACAACATCATATATTGCGTAATCTGATTAGAAATCAATTAGATAAATACGGTTTATATATTAAATCCGTCCCACAGATTTAATTCACCTATTCATTTAATTCAAAATAAAGATATGACGGAATTATATTTGATTTATTCTAATAAATCAAATTTGAGATATTATATTATACCTTATCAATTTAAAAGTGATATAGATTTAATTTATCCTTATAAATCAAATCTTATAAATATCTCTTATATCATATAATATATATATACGCGAATTTATATATATATATACACATCCACCCTAGATTATTCATTGAATCTGGACATATCTTAGATTCAATGAATCTGGACATCATAGCTCGTGTTGGGCTATTTTGTGTGCGACCCTGTAGGCCCATATGAAGTTAGCAGTGAGCCATTTACTATAATGACTCACAAGTCGTAAGCGGTCTCTAGCAAGACATCACGACTACCCAAATCATATGAGGATCGACGAACGATGTAACTTTTCATATAACCATATCGCGTCCCTTTTGTCACACGACATTTTGGTCATGGATGAGGCATGGAGAACGTCATCCTCCTATTCCTGACTGTTACTTTTTCGATCCCTGAGTAGTCTGAGTATAGAAATGGAATTACCTTTCCATTATAGTATGACCATACATTTCTCAGACTCACTCATCGAGGGGCCCAGTAATATCTCTGTACGAATGTGAGGGACAAATTCCATCTTGACCATTCACATTCCTCCATATGAAAAACCAGCAAGCTTGAACATAGTCTTTATGATCACTCGGTCAAAAGTGACTTTTGACTAGGTCAAAGCTGAGCGTTTCTCATGTAGGAATCCATGATGATCTCAGGTCAAAGGGCATAGTGACATGGTGTGTATATGAGAGAAGCTTATGACTTAACCCATGCAGCTCTCTCATAGCGGGTCGGTCCAACACCTTGTACTCTTACATGTGCCTATGACTTTGATTTATATCTCTATACATCTTCAAAGTCATACTGGTCTTATTTCATCTTTGTTCCCACATAGATGACCGACTAGGGACATTTAGGATAACATCATGAGTTATCCAAGGATAGTCATCACAGTAAACATGCAAATAATATGATAACATAATTAAGAAATTCATAAATCAACAATGTTCACAACACAATAATTGGCCCCTAGGGCACAATTTCCAACATGTTTAAAACTAGGATTTTTCATGTACAAGCTTCATAGAAATCTCTTATTAACAATATCAAACGTGAGCATTAACAACACTTCTATGACAAATAAGTAGTATACTTTTGCATTGCACTTTCTTTGATTCTCATTAACAACACTCGTAAAGCAAATAACAAGCTCATTGATGCCATTTCCCAAAAACCGGCATTTTAGTCGTAGTGTTTACATTAATAACAAGTCTATAGAGCAACTGCTCATTTTTGTTTCCTGAGCTTCTTCCTTTCTGCCAATCTTCCTCTAATGATGCCAATAAAAGAAAAATATGTATGCACTTTTTTGTTTTTTGTTTGCATTGCATCTTCTCTAATTATCATTAACAACACATGTAAAGCAAATAACAAATTCAATAACGCTATTTTTCAAAAACTACCATCATATTTACAGTATTATATTTACATTATATCAAGTCCAACTAGCAGCTGCTCATTTTTGTTCCCTAAATTTCTTCCCTTTCAACCAATCTTCCTCTGATGGTGTCAACAAAAGAACACTATGCAATCACCTTTTTTTTTCCCCCCCGCAATCACATGAAAAAAGAAAAACAAATCATGACTCCTTCTTACAACTTTCATAATCATAAAATAGCAGTAACAATTTACCTCTCTCAACTAACCAAACTTTAATCTTCAGCAATAGATTATTTTCCTCCTCCCAAATTGAATCAATAATTTCACTTCAACAACCGTCAACAAAATTAGAAAAAAGGAATCTTAGAAAACCTCACCACCGTTTGAAGGCACGTTCCTATCACAATGACTCTCTTTCACGGTGACTCTCGTTGACGGTGATGCCTCTTACTCTAAATTGGAGTACGGTGGTTTCACAGCCTCCCTTCTTCTCTTTTTTCATCTTCCACTATATCCAAAACCTGCGACTCCCTCTTCCCTTTCTTGAAAAATTTACTTAGGACAATCTGGTCATTTTATGAAATTTCAAAATCCCTAATTAGACATGTGTGAGTAGAGGAATTTTCCTTATTCAAGTGAAAAATTTATTTAGGGCTTCAAAATTTAAGTATCATCTTTCTATCATTTTCCTATTTTCTTTTGTCCCAATATCTATTTCTGTGTGAAATTTCCCCATTTTTTTTTTCTTTTTTCTTCTTTTTCTGAATCTCACGGTTGCAGAGTGGCGGCAGCTATATTTATTTTATTTTATTTTGAAGTAAAACTAAGTCATAATGTGTGGCACGAGAGTGTTTTTAAGAATTGAAAGATGAAAGAGTGTGGAGGCGGCAAGGAGATAATAAGAATTAGGCTCTTCTTAATAATAAAATAACATTTTAATTCTTATATAAAAATGATATGATTATTATAAAATTATTAGTTTACATAGGATGCCATATAAGATGCAAGGTGTCTTTTATTAATCTAATGTGTCAATAATGATTCTGTTAAAAGAGTTCATAATAAAATAATAAAATATTAAATTAAACTTCAGAAAGTTAAGGTTATATGTAACTGTCCCTAGGGGTGTTCTATATGATTTAGTCTTTTTTTTTAATTAAAAGATAATTTTATGCAAAAAGATTACAAAGAAAATTAATTTTTGGGGACCTTTTGCCTACAAATGAATTTTAGACTTGACAAAGTATACATCTATATCTATAAATGCGTGTGTATAAAGGTACGATCGCAGTGGTTGACGGGTAAAAGCAGGCACTGATCCACCGGTTCTCGTCTTAGGGAGCGACCGGTTGGATTTTTTTTTTTTTTTGAGTAGAAGGGAATTTTATTGGAAACAATAATTACACCGGTAATTCAGAAAAAGAACATGACAAAAAGCATAATAAAAAAGGAGAGCTTAATTGATATTAAGGGCGTTCCTAATATGCGAGCGACCGGTTGGATTTCAATGCGTGAATACATTTGAGAAAACGGAAGGCGTCCCCCTCGCGTTCTTCGCTCTTGTCAGCCTTAAACGAAGAGAATTTCAACTCTATTCCGGATTTCGTCGACCATGTGGTTGGCGGTTCTGTGCGGTTTAGTCATCTACAAATTGTTCAAATGCTTCTTCTATGACGATGACACCATGGACCTTGAATACTCTGATACCAATGCTCTTTTCTCGGTTGCTGATAGGTAATTTTCTTGGTTAAATTTCAACGTTCCAGCTTAGGGTTCAAATGTTGTTTTAAAGATCTCAATAAAATGGCACATGATCATTGGAACTCTGTTGAGGTTTGAACCTAGTTGCTCTCAATTTTTCCTGATATCACTGCGAAGTTTGAAACAATTCGTAGAAGTACGATGATAATAGCACGGTGTTTCCTTTGGGCTTTCTTATTATTTATCCCTTGTTCATTACTTATATTTTGTCCTAGTGGAATAACGATATTTTCATTTTCTTTGTAGACTTAAAAAGCTTTATGGAGGAAATGTGTATGTGGGGCTAAGAATTCCGGATGCTGATACTGGCTCCCGACAGAGCATAGATATAGTTCTGGTGACAAAAGGGTATGATGACTTTTTCTCGTTTCTGGGTTTTAAAATTTGCATCGATTATCTGTTTTTTTCTGCCGTGTGTTACTACTTTTTAAAGAACTGGGGACCTGCATATGCTGTATGTACTCTTATATGCACGCTGAGAAAAGAAAAGCACAATAGAATTCGTGAAACAGTATAGCCTGCATAATAATTTGGCTTTTCTGCTGCTTTTACTACCTGGATTCAAAAATCGAAGAAGTAAAAATATTATACCCGAATTACCTTTCTTCTTTTTTCTTATTATCATGAAAACCTTATTTTATCATATCCTTCTGCATCTGCTAGATGATAAGATGTTGGATAATTAATGGAAAGTATTTCAGTTATGACCATTTTATCTTTCCTTCCCAACTGAAACTATGCAGAGAGCTAGTAGTGGTTTCTGTCAAGAACTTTTCAGGACTTGTGTCAGTGAGCACTGGTGGTAATTGGGTATGTGAAAGTCCAGGAAGACATAGAGCAAAGCATCACCCTGATCCTGTAAGGAATCAATTAATTTTGTTTGTTCTTCAGAAACAGAATAGCAGCATATATATTGCTGTTTGATACTGTTCATCAGATGGCTTGAATTAGAGTTGATTTGAAATGATGGATACATCCCCTATTATGAGTATTGGATTCAGAATACTATTTGTCATAATTTTATTTCTTTTTATTGGGGTTTCATCTAATGTTTTGTCATAGGACTAAAGAGTTTTCTTTCACTATTGCTTGGTGCCAATTTGTTCACCTAATTTTATATAACGATTCCCACAATTACCTCAGGCCCTGTCTGGTATGATGAAAGTTGCTATGATGGAACTGGATGTGGAAATGTGAAAAATGGGTGTTTGGTATGTTAGAAACCTCTTCATGGAACCCGCTTCCATAAAAAATGAAGGAAGTGATCTCCATAATGGGAGCTATGGATGTCTAAAAACTTCCATGGATATGTGATAATAGAAGTCGATTATACCCCTACATACAATATCTTAAGACACATTTGCCCCTGTGATTTCTGTAAAGATATGTAAATATATTGTAATTAATATAGGATCAAATCAGAAATGATAGGATAGGATTTTATCCCCTAATAATGAGCCATTAATGACTGAGGCTCCTCTCTTGTGTATAAATTCCTCCTTTTTGATCGTGAATATACAAGAAATATATTCCATATTATTTTCTCCTTAATATGGTATCAGGGCAGGCCATTTAGGGTTAGATTTTCCGTTTGGTTTCACTCTGTCTGCGCTGTACAGTGGGTCTCTGCCGTCAACTCTTGTGTTCAGCATTAGGGCTTCTGTGTCGGGCGTTTGGTGGGAGCACATGCCGGCCAGGGAGGATAGCACGGTGCTAACCGGCCGATCCTCGAAGTTTTGTTGCCATCCGAGCAGCGCGTGAGCCTCACGCTCCGTCGCTTGCAGCAGTACTGTTCACGCGCCACTGTGGTTTCCGCTGTCTTAGCTCTTCTTCGGCTTCGTCTTCCCTTTTCCGGTGATTCCCTGGTGTTTTTCAGATCTGGGTCTCCCCCATTGTGTTGATTTAGACCTGTTTGGTTATTGTGTCTTTTGAACAGTAACGTTCAAATCTGGTATTGCTGTTTTCCTACCTTCTATAGATCGTAGGAGGTGTTGTTTGGTCCCTGGTGTGAACATTTGTGGCCACTTATTTTTTTTTCTTACCGCTGCTAGAATTATTATCTCTTTTTTGTTTATCTTCCATGGGTGATACTAAGTCTACAGTTACCTCTGAAGTGGTTCCTGTAGTCGTTAAGATTATTGAGCACAAATTAAACTGGATAAATTACCTAGATTGGAGTAAGACTATTCGTATCTACTTACGAAGCATTAAGAAGGAGAATCATTTAACTGAAGACCCTCCGACCACTGACTCCTGTCAATCATGGTTAAGGGACGATGCACGGCTCTTTTTACAGATCCGCAACTCCATTGATAGTGAGATTATTCCTTCTGTTACTCATTGTGAATTTGTTAAAGAACTGATGAATTACTTAGAGCTTTTATACTCAGGCAAGGGAAATATCTCTCGTGTTTATGAGGTTTGCAAAGCTTTCTATCGTGTAGGGAAGCAGGATCGCCCTCTCAAAACCTACTTCATGGACTTTAAACGAATGTATGAAGAATTGAATGTTCTAATGCCCCTCATTACTAATCTAAAAGGTCAACAGGCCCAACGGGAGCACATGGCCATCATGAGTTTTCTCATGGGTCTTCCGTCTGAGTATGAGACTGTTCGATCCCAAATTCTATCTGGATTTGAAATTCCTACCCTTCAGGAGGTGTTCTCTCATGTGATGAGGACTGAGAATCTTTCATCGCCAGTTACAAATGCTCCTGTCTATGCTTTAATCAGTCGGGGACAAAATGAGAATCGTGGGACAACTAATCGTGGCGGTTCTAAGCAAGGGGGAACCCCTCCAGATTTAAATGGGGTGATGTGTTATTACTGTAAGGAACTGGGCCATACGAAGTGTACTTGTCGTAAGCTGCAAAACAAACAACAACGTAATAACTCTGCACATGTGGCAACACTAGCTGATGACAAGGTCACAATCTCTGCTGCTGAATATGCCCAATTAAAATCTCTCACACCACCTGTGAGTGCTCCTGCTGCTACAGGTAATCAGGCTACTATTGTTGTCTCTTCTTCCTCTAAATGGATCATAGATTCTGGTCTTACTGACCATATGACAGATAACCGCCATCTCTTCTCCACTTATAATTCTTACGCCAATCCTTCAACTATCACTATTGCCAATGGCTCCCATTCCCAGGTCCTCGGACCAGGCACTGTTAAACCTACCCCCTCCATTCATTTGTCATTTGTGCTAGATTACCTGATCTTGCATTTAATCTGCTTTCGCCTAGTAAACTTACTCTTTCCTTATCATTGCTTGATATAGGTCTCACTCTTTCCTTATCATTGCTTGATATAGGATCTTTTGACGAAGAAGATTATTGGTAGGGGCTATGAATCTGGTGGACATTATTTCCTTAACGAGCAAGGGTCTTGTGCTTTGGCTTGTGCCGGTGGTTTCACTCTTTTTGAAGCATATTGTCGTTTGAGTCATTTGTCTTTGTCTTCTTTAAAAAGGGTTTGTCCTCCGTTTCAACATTTGTTATCTTTAGATTGTGAGTCATGTCAGTTTGCCAAACATCATCGTTTTCCTTTAGTTTCTCGAGTCAATAAACGGGCTTCGTGCCCTTTTGAGATAGTTTATTTTGATGTTTGGGGTCCGTGTCTTGTTGAGTCAACAACGGGTTTTAAATATTTTGTTACATTTGTTGATGACTATTTGCGTACAACTTGTTTATATTTAATGAAAATTCGTTCTGGATTATTCTCATTTTTGTGCCTTTTTTGCGGAAATTAAAACTCAATTTCATACTTCCGTTCGCACTCTATATAGTGATAACGTTAAAGAATATTTTTCTAGCACGTTTCAATCCTATATGCTTCAAAATGGTGTCCTTCATCAATCTTCTTGTGTTGATACACCAGTTCAAAATGGTGTTGAAGAATGTAAAAAGCGCCACTTACTAGAGGTGGCACGAGCACTTCTGTTTCAAATGAAGGTTCCCAAAACTTTCTGGGCTGATGCTGTCTCCACTACTTGCTTCCTCATTAACCGCATGCCCTCTTCGGTTCTTGATGGTAACATTCCCTATACTACTCTTTTCCCTTCAAAACCTTTGTTTCCTGTTGATCCTAGGATCTTCGGCTGTGTTTGCTTTGTCCGGGATGTACGACCATCTGTCTCCAAATTAGATCCGAAGTCCCTTAAGTGTGTCTTCCTTGGCTACTCTTGGGTTCAAAAGGGTTATCGGTGTTTCTCTTCTACTCTCAATCGTTAGCTCGTTTTTGCAGATGTCACCTTTCAGGAATCGATTCCATACTTTTCTCCGTCCATTTCACCTGCCTCTCTTCTATCTGTGGAAGAGTGGAAGAGGATGACCTTCTGGTGTACCTTGTTCTCCCGCCACCCACTCCACCACCTCCAGCTCCAGCTCCAGCTTCGGCTTCTGTGCCACCACCCTTGTCTCGTGTCTACACGACGTTCCAAGGAGACAAATGTCACCATCCCAGATTCCGGCCCTCCAGTATCTGCTTTGTCATCAGATCCTGTGTCGAGCATCTCTCATCCTGAGCCTACACCTTAGTGGATCTACCGGCAGGAAAGAAGGCTATTGGCTGTAAGTGGGTCTTAACCCCTAAAACTCGAGCTGATAGTACCCTTGACTGCCTTAAAGCTAGCTTGGTTGCTAAAGGCTATGCTCAGACCTATGGTGTTGATTACTCTGAAACTTTCTCCCCTGTGGTGAAACTTTCCTTCATTCGTTTTTTCATCTCTATGGCGGCAACCTATGGCTGGGATCTCCATCAATTGGATATAAAGAATGCCTTTTTACATGGTGATCTTCTTGAAGAAGTTTATATGGAGCAACCACTAGGCGTTGTTGCTCAGGGAGAGCGTGGAAAAGTATGTCACCTCAAGAGATCCTTATATGGTTTGAAGCAGAGTCCTCGTGCATGGTTTGACAGGTTTAGTATTGTTGTGCAGAAATTTGGCATGTGTCAAAATAAGTGTGATCACTCTGTGTTCTACCAGAGCACAGGTACTGGCATGATTTTATTGGTCGTGTATGTAGATGATATTGTGATTACAGGGAGTAATATGTCGGAGATCTCTTCACTTGAGTCCTTTCTTAATTCTCATTTTCAAACAAAAGATTTGGGCCCGTTAAAGTACTTTCTCAGAATTGAGGTCTTGAGAAGTAAAAAAGGAATCTTATTGACTCAGAAGAAGTATGTTCTTGATCTGTTGAAGGAAACTGGAAAGTTAGGGGCTGCGCCAAATAGTTTTCCTATGATTTATAATCCACTCCTTGATGCTGATGGAAGCATACCATCTGAGAATCTTGTGGATGCTACTAAGAGCAAGCCATTTGAGAACCCGGAGAGGTATCGAAGATTGATTGGAAAATTGAATTATCTTACTGTGATCGTCCTGATATCACCTATCCAGTCAGTGTACTTAGCCAGTTTATGGTCTCGCCTACTATCAGACAGTGGGAAGCTTTAGAGCATGTGCTTCATTACTTGAAGGGGTCTCCAGGTCGTGGGATCCAACAACAACAACAACAAGCCTTATCCCACTAGGTGGGGTCGGCTACATGAATCACACGACGCTATCATGCTCTGTCAATAACCCAATCCTTAGATATGTTGTCAATAACCCAATCACACGTCTCCAGGTCATGGGATATTATACAGAAATTATGGTCATACAGATATTAAGTGCTTTTGTGATGCTGATCGTGGTGGTTCAAAGGCCACAAGAAGATCTACTACAGGATATTGTGTCTTTGTGGGAGGAAATTTGGTGTACTAGAAGAGCAAGAAGCAGAATGTGGTGTCACGATCAAGTGCAGAGGCAGAATATAGAGCTATGGCACAATCTGTGTGCGAGAGCGTCTGGATATATCAATTATTGAAGTAGGTTGGTTTTAAAACCTCACTACCAACAAAACTGTGCTGCGACAATAAAGCAGCCTTACATATAGCTTCTAATTCAGTGTTTCATGAACACACAAAACACATTGAGATTGATTGTCATTTTGTTCGAGATAAGATCAAGGAAAACTTCATCTCAATAGGACACATGAGGTCCAGTGATCAATTGGGTGATCTCCTTACTAAAGCTTTGAATGGGGTTCGGGTTGACTATCTTTGTAACAAGTTGGGCATGATTGACATCTATGCTCCAACTTGAGGAGAAGTGTAAAGATATGTAAATACATTGTAATTAATATAGGATCAAATCAGATATGATAGGATAGGATATTATCCCCTAATAATGAGCCATTAATGACCGAGGCTCTTCTCTTGTGTATAAATTTTTCCTTTCTGATCATGAATATACAAGAAATATATTCCATATTATTTTCTCCTTAATAATTTCAATACTAGACCACCCTTCCTGACAGATTCGGCCCTTCGATGATACACAAGTTGACATGGGCTAAGCAACGGCGATGGCGCGGTGAGGATGATGAATTGAAAGTTTCCAATGACAACAACATCCTATGTGTGATCCAGATTTAAACTTATTTTAGTTGTCTACTTCTAGCCCACTGTCATTTCCATTTCCACTTCTACTTCTAGCCTCAATGTGTTTTGTGATTCGGTCTTCAACTGGAATTTACACCCTGGATACTAATTATTTTGAGACAAAGTTATGTATCACTTTGCTGTCAATTAGTATGATTATATTCTTGTTTTTGAATTTTCCTCTAAATTTCTTTTAGTTGTGCAAAGCCTAACACTGGAACTCATATGTAACTCCATTTGAGTTTCTTCCCTTTTCATCTTACATTCCCCCCTGGGGGTAACTTTTTGTTCCAACATTTGTGGTTTATGTTGTATTTTGCAATATCCCTTTTCTTGCTTTGCCTGGAATTCAGCTTTGGTCAGCTATCTGTATCTTCCCTCCCTTTAAGCCATGCCTCCCTTTTCTTGTCTTTATTTCCACTTTGTCAGGAAGAATCCTAGGTAATATGAATCATGGGTTCTATTTTGTAATACTGCACCCTCAATTCTCTCCAGCGTTAGGTTCCTGTCTTGAGCTAACATTATGCATGAGATGAGCTAGATTTATGGATTTGATGAGCCTAACCTCAATCACAACATCCGCCACCATTTTTTGTCAGCACTCCGATCAATGATGCACTTGACATATCCATCATTTGGTTGACATTAACGTGCTCTGCTCTTCATACTTGGCCTCACCCCTAATTGTTTGCAAGCCTGAAGGCTACTTCTTTCTTTCTTTGTTCTTCTTTTTTTTTTTTGGGGTCAAATCAAGATTGGGCACCCCATTTGATGGTTGAATCAATTTGAACATTGGCCTGTTCGGAAGCTGTAGCCTCCCTTCATTGCAACCAATGCAGGCTTAATGATTATGGCCAAATAATAGAAGTATAATCCTGTAAAAAAAAAAATTGAAGAGAGACTTTTATGGGTAGAACTATGAATGCAGGAATCTTAACAAATTCTTCAATACTGAACTTTATATGGAGATAACTTGAACTCCCAATACAAATAGAATTTGTAAACTAATCCTAGGGGTTATTTATGCTATCCAATATTTGTTACTCCTCCGATCTTTAATTTGAGATCTATTTAACTAATTTGATTACATTAAGAAAGTTAGGTAAGTTAGTTAATTATAAAAAATATGGCTTGTTTTTCATAAAACATCATAATCATCTTCCTTAATATTCTCCCTCATTCCTACTTGATTATGGTTGCGAGAGTATCAATAAGGGTAATTTAGAAAAAAAAATGATAAATATGAGAAATAGGTCTTACATTTTAATTAAATCTTACATTAAGGACCGGAGGAGTACTTTCAAGTTTCAATAATAGGTAGCCAGACACTGAAATCCTAAAATCAAGCAATATAAATGCTTGCATATTATGGAAATGATTATTCCACTACTTCCTCGTATTGAGCTATGTTTCTAAAACTCATGTCCTTCATGTTGTGTGAATTGACCAGCTGTAAGAAAAAAGAGGCTGTTAAGTTTTTGGCAAGAAAAGAGACCAAAAGCTTTGGGGTATATGGTGCATTTGAATTGGAAGGAATACCTTTTTTGTTTTTGTTTTTTTGTTTTTACTGTTTTTACAGTGCTGCAGAGTTTTGATAGTGTTTATGGTTACCTTTTGGTCCCATTTGTCTTTCATATTTCTAGGGTTTGGATAGCCTTGTTTTATTGTTAATCTTTTTGTCCTTTGTTTTGTTTTCTTTTGCCTTCCTTTTCTCTCCTTTGAGCTCTGTGTTGTCCTCCAGCCTCCTTAGTAAGCTCTCTATTTTCTAACAACTTTCTTTTTAATCCTGAAAAGAAAATCTGATCAAATTCTTAGGGGAAAAGAAACAAAACAGTGGCATATATAAATGTGTATAAATTGGAATGGGGGCTAGTGGGCTACTATTACGGGGTTTGATTTGTTGTTTATCACATCAGTGTTTGCATGTGTATCTTTATAAATTGATGATACTGAAAGAAGAAAAAATGATAAAGGTTTCTTCTTAGTGATAAGTGTGAGATATTTAATCATGATTCATGATGATAAGATTCCTAGTAAACCAACCATGACTTATGAGAGGCGAAATAAAAGGAATTCAGTTAAAATTTGACTCGGTCTTTCTAGCTTCATTTAAATTAGTTATTTTCTTTTATTCTCTTTTATTCTTGTTTATGGACTCAGTTAGCTAAATAATAGGATCATTAGGTCAGTCATGATCCACTCTGTTATGCACATTTTTCATTTTCGTTGTAATCCCGAGAATGTAGGGATATTTAGTTGTTTCATGATTGTTGCAAGTGTCATGTAGTTCTATAAATATGTTAGCCGCCCTGTTAGTTGACATGCGAGTGAAATACAGTTTGAGTACAATATTTCAGAGATTCTCTTGGGCTATTTTCTCTGCTTATAGTGAGATCCTTACTGTGAGGGAGAGAGTAGAGTGTTATTTTTTCTGCCTTATCAGTTTTTCCAGTTAGAGCACATACCACATGAAGACTGTAATAACTAGCTAGTAGATGATAATGATAGAACGTGAAATGAGGTGGATCATAATAATATGCTGTTGATTTGTGTTAGCCTATTTTTCTTTTAGTTATTTGTTGCTTTTGTTTTGTTTTCTTTGTTATTGGATTCTAAATTATAATTTCATGGATAAATGTTCTCTTTAAATGGTAAATTTGACAGTTAATCATGAATATTGTAGTAATGAGGATGTAAATGATTATGACAAAAGGGAAGCAAGATGGGTGGTGGTAATTTTTTGTTGTTCCAAAGTGCCCATCATATTCTCGGTTGAATTGACCATCAGCAAGGAACATGGAATTTGGTCAACTTGAGTTATCCTCTTTTGCACGTCCCTTCACGCAGCATGAAATGGAAGATTATCGCTTTATTGTTCATAGACTCAACAATTTTAGTAGACCTCTTGAACAATTTCATTCACTCTAAAATATTTTCCAGCTCTGAAAAGTCAACCCATTTGGTCATCTCCACATAAAATTAGGAGCTTTAACTTCTTCCTTTGAGTTGAATTGTCTGGAGACAGCCATCTTCCCCACCATTATGTGAATGGCATTGCTCTTGTTTCCCATAGGCGCTGATGATTGACATGTGGGGGGACTCTCCACAACCATCTTGCTCACATAATAGGGAAAGAAAATGCTCTAATGGCAATTCTTAGGAATCTATTTCTTAATGAGCTTCTAACAGAACCAGAATGACACAGCCACTGCCGGACAAAGAAATAAACAAAAATCAACGCAGAAAACCAGCAGAAACAGTCTGAATAGCAAAACTGTTAATGGCTATAGGAGAACTTCATTTTTGCAGTGTCAAGGTTGTTCTCCAGACGAACCTAGCTCTTTCTTGTAAGTTGGCTACCTTCTAATTCTAGCCTATTTTCACTTCTCTAACAATTTCCCTCTTCAGATGAGTGTACTGCTGCTTCCTGTCTTGATTGTTATGCTGCACCAAGTCCATCAGTTATAACAGCTGTACTCTGGTCCTTTGCTGACTTGACAACAGGCTGGGACCTTCTCCTCCTTTAGACCCTTTGACTTGGGAACCTAACTACAATTGGATATGTTATTTGTAAAATTATATTTATGGTATTTAAAGTGGATACTATTCAAGCTAGTGGTATTGAGAATCAATGTATGCATCACAAGTTGTTCTGTTGACTTAGATGTGGGAGAATCATGTAATTGTTTTAAGGTTAATCTTGCTAGCATATCAGTCACTGTGTTCAATGCTTTTAAAACTGATAAAACAATCATAAGAAGAACACGGCTGGTTGTCTTACTTTATTTTCCTCTCTTGCTTTCTCACTAATCTTCATCTAGGCTGTTGAAGCCAGAAAGCAAGCGTCTGTTCTTGAATCATATCTTGGACAAAGAGGAGTTGCTCTTCCTGAAGGATACATAACTTGTAAAGTTATACTCCCAAATCCTAAACTATGGTATGATTTTTAATCTCTTTCATTTGCTACTAGAAATAGCAAGGTTTTCATCTTCCACCATCTGATAATATCCTGTTTGTTTATTTGTAGTCAACTAATTTTCTTTGTAATTCATCCAACTCTTGAAGTAAAAAATTTGGCAAAAAAGAATTTAATTTTTAAGAGACAGACAATACTATTAGCTATGCAAACAGTGGTTGTTAATTATATTCTTAAAGTTGTCAAAGTGTAAGCTCAATTATCATAAGCACTTTCAATACTGTGTTCTGCAGTAAAAATAACTGTTGAATTTGCAAATTCAATATAAAGTTTCAAAGTGGGGTTTTTACCTGTCCATATTTTGCTAATATTAGTCATCCTTTAGTTTGGTGGAGGTAATCAAAGATGAAATGTTCACATGCAAAACATCTAAGGGCTTGTTTGGAATCCCATTCAAAAGTATTTATAAGTATGTTTCACGTAAGTCGGAACAAAACTCCTTTCACATATTTACCTCGTATTGCGTAAGTCACAATTGAAAAGCAAAGCAGCCATTCCAAACGGGCCCTAAAACATCGAAGGTGAGTGGTACTGAAAAATGCCCATGCCTCAATGAAGGAAGGGAGGACTCTAAAATAATGTGATATATAGAGTACAAACATACATACATACGTACGTACGTACGTACGTACATGTTCATTGAAATAATCTTTATACATGAGAACATGCGCGTGCGCACAAAATATATTTTCTAAAAATGGTTATTTGAAGATATCAAATGCATTACTTGAAGTTTAAAAAACGTATTTCAAGGCATAAAAGAACAATTTAAATATATTATATATAAATATTTCTGAACAAAGAGAGAATGAAATCTTTTTTGTATATTCTAGATGGATAAATTTCGATGCATAAATAGTGTATATGGGATGCCATTAGCTGTAACATCCCGTATTCTAGTCTAGGATTAAGCAATTCTAGAATAATTACAAGCTATGTCAAATCTGCTCTAAGAAAGAAGGGAATAATATTAAAGACAAAATAATATTCCTGAAAATTAGGAGATTATCACGCTAACAATTACCTCATACAAAATTTTAAATATAAAACTCTTCAATCTTATCTAATATTTTATCATTTCTCTATTGTATGATGCTCTCTACATATACTTTCAACATTAACACTTTCCCTTATCTGTGTGCCTAATAAATATTGTGCAATTTGTTTGATGCTGTGAGTATCCAATCTTGTTCAGAACGCTAGCGATAAATTATTGTTGGTTGGAGCGTAGAAAACACTGCGCAGCACAATATATTCATTAATTGTGACAAAACCAATTTCATAAACCCTAGAAGACTGCCCATTAGCAACGATGACATTGAGATTTAGATTACAAGTTTCTAGACTGTCAAAGAAATCCTTGTTACTAGTTATGTGGTCATTAGTCCTTGAGTCAACATTCTAAACATTTGGATTTCCAACTCTTATTATAAGAGTTCTAGGATTTATATGTTTATTTACCATATTAGTAGTCCCAAGTGCACTGTCTCTTTGAGCTTGCAAATAATACTTTTGAAGTGACTTTCACAACAATTCAGCCTCATCCTTGCTGTTGTTTCCTTGGTCCGAAGCTGCCTTCTCTTCACTAGTCATTGAAAAAGCTTTATCATCATTTTTCTGCTTAAAGTTAGAGGAAGATGACTTACCATGGATCTTCCAAAAATTATCATGAGTTTGACCACTTCAATTATAGTCATCGCACGACCATTGGCCCTACTTTTCTCTCTAATTAAAGGATTGACTATTCCCAACTACTAAAGTATCATAGGCTCCCGCATGCCGGGCATGAGTCTGGGTTGAGACTGAAAGCGGCGCGTGTGAGATGATAAATGTGCTGCCATTAGCTGTCGGAACTCTAAGATATGTTGATTTAGGGTAACTCTTGATTAGTAACATATCTAAGGACCGGGTTGTTGACAGAGCACGATGACGTCATGTGATTCATGTAACCAACCCCACCTAGTGGGATAAGGCTTGTTGTTGTTGTTCTTTCATAGGCAGGTAAGTGAGATCAATAGATCATGGGAGAGAAAAACCTTAAATGATCTTACTTAGGGGCTATCATTGTGAAGAAGGAAGGCCAAAACTGGGGAGGAGGACTAGAATCAAGTTTTGTGATACTATGTAAAGAAAATACATGGAAAGCACAAATTATTCTATTTTATTATTATTGTCTAGAATGCTTAAAGAGGTATTTATAGAAATAGAGATGGAGAGAGGGAGGAAAATAGGGGAGGAAGAGGTCCAAGTGACGTGACTAATGGATAGTGGAAAGTACTAGTCTATCAAATGCTAGGATGCGAGGTCTAGCCAGAGAAGTGTGTAGCCATGATTTCTGAGATTTGACCTTTCATTCTTACACTGGCAGAGGCTAACCTAGATGTTTGGTAATATATAATACATTGTGACTGTATCGTTCATTTTAGTTCTGATTTTTGTAGAGTTTTCTTTTTCTTTTTGTCTTGGTTCCAATAATTAACTTACACAATATTTGAAAATTCAACCGACAATTCGGGTGTTGACAGCTATGTTTAGCATTCATTGTCCCCAGTGAACAGTTGGCATTGTCTTTCCAGTTTTGTTCCTCTTCATGACAGAAGTACCGAAGGGACTCGCTTTTCTCTTAAAAGGTGCCAAATGGCAAGTGAAAGTCATTGCCTCTCCTGCTATTTTGTGTCTCACCTTAGCTTCTTTGAATGCACTTGTTAAACCTAAAACAAAACTTTACTTCGTGAATGGCTAGGATATTTCTCTCAACAGCGATTTCATTATGGCATCAAATAATGTGTTGTAATCATGTTGAACATCAGCTCGGGTGGAATACTTTTTAGCATTCCCAGCTCTACTTGTTCCAGGCGCTGATGGCACTTATTGATCAGTTCTTTCTATTAGATCTTCCATTTGTGTGATGCTTCAGCAATCAGAGTGCTGTTGTTTTTCTGGTTACAAGTCATAGGTTATCACTTTTAAGGAAGGCTTTAGTACTCCCTCTTAGCATAATACTCAGACTGAATGTTTTATCTAAGTGTTCACAACTCTTTTGGTTCTCTGTGCTTGAACACAATGAGGAAGATTAGGATACTTTTGGTTTTTGTCCTTGTAAATCTTATTTCCAATTTCATTTTAATTCTGAGATTAGAGATAGGCTTCTTTTAGACTGGGACATATATACTTGTAAGGAAGATTATTCCAAAGTACCATTGTTAATCTTTTAGTTTATTATTTATTTTCTGGCAGTGTATGTAGTACTTGATAGTTATCTCTCTTGCAGTATGTTCTCAGAAAGCAGTTTTCCGTCTGAAGTTATTACTTATGAACAATGGGTACAACTAAAGCCGGCATCAAAGAGTATGTTATCTAGCTGGATGAAGAGTGCCTTTCGTGCTGAGAAGAAAGAGATGCAAGAATCTGTGCATCAGAATCTTGACTTTATCCTTAGCACGGCTCCAATTTGGGATAGGTTAGTTGCTGTTTTATTGTTGTGTGATCTATAAGTATTTTGTTAAGTGTTTTTCGCGCTGTGATATCTACTTTGTCCTTGAAAAGCTCTTGGGATACAACTCTTGTAAACATTTTTTTCCCCCCTCGATACAATCTAAGAAAATTTTTTACTATTGAAAGGAAAGAAACAAAAATGCATGATAATAATCTGGACATAATAAAATCCAGATTTCCATCGGCAAATCTTTTCATATGGGCATATCTGGATTCTAAACCCTTCCCTCAAGCTATGGAAGAGATATTAATTGGCGAAAGCTTTGGTAGCCTTGTATTATTTGGCATTTTGAGCATGAAACTTGCAAGTGTCAGATATCTGTCCTTAACCTGTCTGCATCTCCAAATATTATCAAAAAGATAAATCAATTTCACATAAAACATAGTTTGGTTTACAGGTTAGAACTGAAAGGAAATAAATATATACTGGGGGAGTTCCTAGAATTTAAGGGCAAGCAAGAAGATGTCCAAGCTTTGAGGAATATCAGAAGATCGAAAGTTTCGCGTATGGCAATCCAACGAACAAGCATGTTTGGACTAGGTAACCTATTTAAGATATTGATCTATTCTTTTTCCTTTTTTGGTGAAACAAGATGAACAAAACAAGATATTGATCTATTCTAGATGTGTGGAGTGCCAATCTTGAAGCTGACGAGTTAATCTGTTAAAATATTTACCTGTGATTTGTGTTCTCTTCCATAAGACTGCAATTTGAATTTTTATTTACCTAAATCTGAAAGAGTAAGAGGCATTAAAAAATAAATGACTTCTATAAGCCTTCCTTCGCCGTAGACATGCTGGTTCATGGTGTAACACACTCACACACTTATATCTGATGCAGAACAGAGGAAATTTTAGGGGAGAGGAAATAGAAACAGAGAGATTTTGGAGGAGAGATGCAGAAACAAAGAAGAGAAGGAGAAACAGAGGGAGGGCGAATAGAATTGAAGGGAGGGAGAACAAAAATGGAGGGGGAGAGTTCAAGCAGATCAAAAGAGGTGGAGAGAGAGATAGCAATTAAGCCATAACAATATCGTTCATCAAAGTCTTCCGATACATGTGCTTCATACTCCTATTTATATATCAAGATTTTCTTCCATATGAAGTAATCTTGATGACATCTTGCTACTAGAGACAAAATCAAACTTGGCTTCCTCTAGCACAAGGAACCTTGATGACAACATTCTAATAAAATATAAAAGCAAAATCAAACTTGACTTCCTCTACTAGAAAGAAACTTGATGACAACTTTCTAATGAATAGAAGATTTGATTTCCTTTACTAGAAGGATGACAACTTGCTAGTACTTGACCATTAAGGAAAGCCAACTAGCATGGAAATAATAAATTTAAAATTTTCTCCTAATATAGGTATCCTTATATTCTATCATTTCTCCCTTGCTTGAAGGAACTCTCCTCTGGAGAGTAAAGTTGATGATATAATTCCAATGGAACACAATGCGTGGAATTCCTCTATGTAGCATCTAATCTGGGACTCCTTTCCCACCACAGACAAGGTAGTGAAAAATAAGACACTGCAGAGAGTGAGCGGTCTGATTGTGTTGATTTGGAAAACCTCTCCAGTGAACAAGGTAGTTTTAGAAGTTATCATTAGATAGAAGAACAATATGCTCTATCAGAACTACGACAACTTCAGGATGATGTGTAACTTGAACTTGATGAAGTTGAAGAATATGAGGGCAATGTGTAGTAGAAATATGACCAATTTGGACACCTGCCTTCTCAAGATATTCAACATGATAAATCTCTAAGGTCTATGATTCTTGATCCTTGGCCACCAATTTGAAATCTTGAATCAATCCAAAACTCTTGCCTTCATATTCCATAGAGATTTCTTCTTATTCAACCTCCTTTTCTTGTTTCTTAATTACTTCAACTTTATTAGCCTCTTCTGATGCCAAGCTTCGATTCACAATAAAAAATTCAACTTTAGGGCCATCAATGCTGTTAATATCTCTTTGTGGTGCAGGATGTGTGGGTGAAGGTGGGATTGAAGAATGTACTATCTTCTTGAGTTTGCAAAATATCATGTTGTGGGACTTCTTGTGGGACTAGTGCTGTTGTCTTCATATTAGTATCATGAATGCACTTCATGGAAGTTGTAAGTCCTGGTTGCAAGGAAAGGACTTTAACTTTTGTTGCCTCACTTGTTTTCTTCTCATCTGCTTGATTAGACTGTTTCTCTCCTTTTGATGTATTATCGGTAGCCTTCGAAGGTTGCCAAGGAGCACTTATTATGGCATCCTGCCTATAATCCCATTCATCCTGACCTTGATTCCATTCATGTTGAAGGCATTCTAATCTTTGCTCTGATTACCTCGTGCTTGTTTCATGTCATTTTGAAAGCATCCAAATGATCATTGAAGGTGATTTGTGAATTGCTCTTCCATGTAAGAAACTTGGAGGAAGTTAGAATTTTCATATTCATATTGCTCACAATCAACGTCCTTGTATCGGCGAGTATCTAACTTATCACGATCACGATTAACAGACTTGTATCGTCGTTGACCCACATACTCATAATGTCAAAGGCCCATATACTCATGTTGATGATGATTGTCATATTCATATTGATGATAGTGGGGATATCACACTGCTGATAGCTATCATACAATTGACTTTTATAATGAATTGGGCCATATTTCTTTGTAGGCTTCACCTTCATTTCATTCCATCTTTTGATTTCGGGTAAACCCAGTCGTTCGATGTTTCTTTGTGCGTTATGCCAATACTTTCTTGCAGATCCCACAAGCTTCATCTTTGTAAATTGGACTCTTTGGGCATCATTCATGTCATATCACTGGAAGTAGTCTTACATGATTGCCAGCCAGTCTAAGAAAGCACTAGGATTTAGTCTTCCATCAAATTCTCGGGTGTCTTCGGGTGGCCTTCTAAAGTTTCCTTGACCACTCCTAAAGGTTGTTTATGCTCTATTGCATCTTAATCATATCAAGCGTCATCTGTATCCTTAAACTGACTATGATTAATAAATTCATGAGGAAGTAGTTTGATTTTGGAAGCTTTACTAAGCCTAGGTTGATTAGGGATGTAGGATCACTCATTCCTATAACTTGACTCTATATTCCTAGGTGTTTCTAGAACTCCTTTTGCTTTCTCTTTTCGATGCCTATTCATGGGTTCCTCAAATATACTAGTCACTGTTTCGTTCATCTCATTAAATCTTTGAGTCCAAGCATAACTTTAAGAGCTAAAAGTTTTGTACTTTACGACAAATGATGCTTCTAGATGATGATTCTTGCATTTTGGGTTGGTTGGAATGAAGAAAACCATTTGAAACAGATCAAGAAGCGCAGAAATTCAAATTCTGGTTAGTTCTGTATGGCGGCATGTGGTGCGCATGAATCCTACGTGCAGGGAGCTTTGCCAACACATGTGGTGTTGGATGGCGACATGGTGTGGGGATCTGACAGGAAGTAGGTGGCGGTGGTTTTGTGATTTTACATCAGGAAGTAGGTGTTTTGGGTCTGACAGATGTGAAAACAGAGTTTAAGGGTTTTCAGGTGTGTTTCTGGATTTTTTTTGACGACAGAAGTAGTCTAAGAGCATAGGAACCTAAGCTCAGATACCAAACTGGGGTAACACACTCACACAAAGCTTAAATCTAATGCAGAACAGAAGAAATTTTAGGGGAGAGGAAATAGAAAGAGAGAGAGATTATGGAGGAGAGATGAAGTAACAAAGAAGGGAGATGGAGAAACAGGGTAGACGAATAGAATTGGAGGGAGAACAAAAACTGAGGGAGAGAGTTAAAGCTGGGAGAGAGAGAGAGATAGCAATTAAGCCATAATAATATCATTCATCAAGGTCTTCTAATACATATCCTTCATACTCCTGTTTATAGATCAAGATTTCCTTCTTTATGAAGTACTCTTGATGACAACTTGCTACTACACATGATCAAATCTGGCTTCCTCCACTAAAAGGAAAGTTGATGACAGCTTCCTAATAAAATACAAAAACAAAATCAAACTTAGCTTCCTCCACTAGAAGAAAACTTGATGACAACTTTCTAATAAAATATAGGAGCAAAATTCAATTTGGTTTCCTTTACTAGAAGGGAACTTAATGAGAACTTGCTAGCATGTGACCGTGAAGAAAAGCCAACTTGCATAGAAATAATAAATTAAAATTTTTTTTTCTAATATAGGTATTCTTATATTCTATCAGTTTAACTACATATTGCTTTCTTTTACTATCAGCTTTATTTTCTTTAATTTACTTTTTCCATTTTCAGCGCCTTCGAGGCTCCAAGTTTTGTTTGCTGAGCGTGACTATAGAAGTGAAGGAGGATCAGCGTTAGAATGGAAAGAAGTAAATGTAAGATCAAGTACTGAGGTCTTATTTCAGCCTGAAAGTTCTTCAAAAATCCGCAAAATTAAGCTTGCTTCTATTATATCTCTCACTCTTAGCGCTTGAAATGGCCCAAACACCATCGTCTAAAGATGAAGTTAAGAATCTGTGAAGTTGAATGCAACATATGGATGCCATATATAGTTTTAAGTGTTTTGAATTAAACTTGACCAACTCCACTTTCAAAGGATCCATTCTCCCCAAATTATCTGTGTCTGTATCCAGCTTTAAGGATGCAACTAGTGGTTATTGCATGTTATGGTCTGTATTTGTTTCAAGTATAGTGATAATGAGAGGAATTGTTAAAAGGAATGAAGCATTATGTTAACAGATTGTGCAACAATTCATCGATACATTTCTGCCTCGTCTTTTCCTAGTTATTAAGAAATATTTTTTATTATCCGAATTAGCACCTTTTTTAGCAACATTGTGGTTTTTTTTTTTTTTTTTTTACCTGGCAAACAACGATATTGGTTTTTTTCGCTTTAATTTTGTTTGTGTTATTTTGGCCCTTGTATGTTATATAGACAAGGCAAAGTCATTGCCTTTAAATTAAAGGGTTTTTTTTTTTTTTTTTGGAACCAAAGATAACTTAAGACTCTTAAACATTCTAAAATGAAAATCCTAATTGATAACTTAAGCCCTAAAAGCATATTATAAGCTATTAGAGCTTATAATCCTAATTAAATAAAACGCATAAAAAATAGAGGCGAAAATGCAATAAAATTAGAAAAATTAAAAGATATTTTAGAATACTCTAACTTGTTAGTTGAGCTAGAATAATCTAGAGTGCCCACTACTTAGAAGGATCCCATCATTAATAAGAAGGATTTTATTTGACTCTACTAATTAATAAAAATAAAAAATATGTAAGTCTTTGCCTTTAATAAGCAATTAATACAAAATAGGAAACCAATTAAAACAGATAGAATCCCAATTAGTGCCATATAAGATCACTCTTGATGTTTTTTGAATCTTCTTGAACCTTCCAAATGGATCTTCGTAAATGTTATTCATGTGCATGGGCTTTTAAGATATATTTGGGCTTGAATATGGATGAATTACGTACTGGAACTCTCATGGTCCAAAACACAATGCATTTGAGCCCCAATTTGAAATATTATACCTCTAATGTACTCCTCTATGCATATATAATTGTATTGAACCTTTACTAATATGGGAATTGGGTTCAAATCTTTCTTTTGCACTCTTCAAACATGCTCTCAACTTCTAAGTGTCCATACACCAATGATTAACTTGCCATGGTCGCTTTGGGAGTGGTCTATCATGTGTCTACTCATGCTTTGCATATGTAATTGTCCATGTCATCATCCAAGCAATAATTATCCATGTTCTCATTCATGTAAGCATTCTTGAGCTATAAATCCCTTGAATACTTTGGAGGGTTTGTTGGGCCTCTAATTGAATGAGTGCTATTTGGGATTCATGACCTCCATATTAAATGCCTCTTGGTATGCTATCATTCCCTCTCTCTTCGAAAAGATTCGTCCTCTTGCTTTGGATGAAAAGGAAAGAAATTAAAGTTTCCAAAAATAATATGAACACAAAAATTACTAAATGGAGGATCTTGTAAGTGAAATTATGGGTCTGTTTAAGATCTAAAGAGGAATCTTGATTCCTTAGATTTGTTTGAGGAAACTCAAATTTAGAAAGTTGAGAAAACTTGCTTTGGGTCAAAAATCTTTTCTTTCTAACATATTATCAAATATAAATGATTATTTGGAACCTTTTTGCATCCACAACATAACCTAAAGTAACAATAAAACCCAAATAACAAGAAAGGATCTTAACCATAACTTGCATATAATATGAACACCTATGAACAAAAAAATTCATGTAACAATGACAATCCAATATGTAAAGTTCAAGACATCTTAAAAGGCAACCAGTCATCTTGAGTAACAAAATTTAGGCCCTTGGAATGTTTTTGAATATTGCTTGAATGAAATGAAAATCCATCATATGGTTGTTTAGGAAACAAATCTCCTAATACCTACAACTCATCAAAAGCACAAGGAGAAGAATGATTGAGATCATTAGTAATTAAAGAAACATCCTTATAATCACTCTTAATCTCACTTTTCTCACATGTACGTATTTTCATTTTTCTTTTCACTCAACTCAATACCTTGTAATCACTCTCAACCTCATTTTTCTCACAGTTATTTTCATTTTTGTTTTCACTCAGTTTAGTACTTTCATTTGCTCTCATTATTTTGAAGACGCTCTATGCTGTCTATTACACTTGTTTTTTTTTTAAAACTCAAGCTCTCTTTTTTTTTTTTTTTTTACAATTATCCACAACAATAAAGTCAATCTCATTTGTATTGGATGTGGAGATGCAAGCTTTCTCTTGGTTGTTCTTCTTTGAAGAGGAGCATTGTCTTTCTGAATGCTTCTTTCTCTTGAGTTCTTGGTCATGCTTGCTAGGTAGAAAAACCAAATCTTTAATCTCCATGAAACTACACATTTTTGCAACACATGCTAATCTAGCATTTAGCCCAAGTATAAAATGATCCATAATGACTTTTGGAGTCTCCTTTATGCCAGCTCTAATCATTACTAAGTCCATCTCATAATAATAATCCCTAACATTTATGGAGCCTTGTTTGAACTCTTGCTATCTTTTATGTAAATCTTTTTTATACTTAGAGTTGCGATTAAACTTCAACTAGTCAACTTGAGCATTGAACTTTTGGACTTCTTTAAGAAAGACTTGGAGTTCTTTCTTAAGTTTTGTCACCATACGTATTTGGTACTTGAAAGTTTATAAACAAAGAGAAAAAGACCTCACTACTCTATTTACGTGTTTCATTCAATGATTTATGACACTTGTGTTTCAGTCAAATTTGACTTTTAAATTGATACATAACACTCTTGTTTTTTACAACTCAAGCTTATCTCCTATAATATTCTTGATTGAAACTCAATAAAATCAAGAGACAATGTTAGTATATGGTAACCAAAAATTGTGAGAAATTATGAGAGTCAAGAAAGGAATATGGGAAAATAAGGGATAAACAAAAACATGAAAGAGATGTTGAAAAAATAAGGATAGGAAAAAAAAGTACAGAAAAGGATAGAAAATTTATGGACACAGAAAAGTGTGGAAAGAAAGGAAAGTGGGAATAAAGAATTTAGGAAAGATAATATTGCTACTACTACTACAGAAAACAACTTTAATGGCGGTTTAAGGCTTTTCACAGTGGTTTTTGAGGCACAGTGAACACCATCGATGTTATAATCAAATTTCACGACGGTTATAAACCGTTCTGAAAAGTTAACTTTCCACAGTGGTTTTATACAAATAACTGCCATGAAAAAGTCCTAAATCATAACGTTAAGTCAGGACTTTTTTTATAGCGGTTATACAAATAACTATCGTTAAAAATAACTATTCACGACAGTTAAATAAATAACCATTGTGAAAGGTTCAATTTTTTTTAATTTTGATTTTATTTTCTATACAACCTCCCTACAATGCCAAACCAATTACAAACTAATTCCAGCCAGCATAACAGAAGAACTCAAAATCATTTCAAGACACAAACTTAAACCTAAAACTAACATAACTAATGTTTCCAATTCTTATTCAATCAACTACACCTAATAATCAACAAATTAACCAATCAATATTTTAACTAAACATATATAATAAACAATGAACTAAAATGTAAATGACTTAACTAATTTATGTTTTCAAAGTTCTCAAGCAATGTTGTTGACAAAGCATCCCTTATTGAATTGATTTCTTTAGGATCACATGGTGTACTATCTCGAAATGCCTGTATATTGAAAATAACAAAGTCATTGGTTTACTGGATCAATATTGTGAAAAGAATTGAAGAATTACAATGTAACTTATATTTACTTCACCTAACTTCTCAGTAATCCCCACCTTAATGATGTCATTCATATAGCGGATCACGTAATATTTGCATTCAACACTCTCAGGTTGACAATGATACTAACAAAATGAAAAATAAAATTGAATATCTTATTTTGATTATCTAAAAAATTTATAAACATTAACTTTGATTATCTAAAAAGTTTATGAACATATACTTAGCTCAGAATAACATACTTGTGGAAGAATCCATGGCTTATTTTTCTGTTTGGCCACCATGTTGAAACTATAAAAAGCCCTATCAATAATCAGGAAAAATGATATTAGAACATATTTTTGTAAAATTTACACGTAATAAATATATAAACATAAACTCATGTGTCAATGACATTCTTGGTTTCATTTTTTGGCGCTACACAAAAAGGAATCAAACCAGTAGACGTCATTATCAAAGGAGACAAAAACAATGACAATGATAACTATAAAAATTCAAATCATGTTAATTATAATTCTGTATATATAATCTATGTGCATCTCAGATACAATAACATACTTACCTTCCAACGTAGGGTGCAAAATATGATTTCTTCTTTATGTGGCTGATTGTGGTCATCATGTAGATTGACCTTGCTTTCCTAGTTTTTATTACTTGCTGTATCTTTTAAGGACACATAAAGTCATATATGCCCTTAAGTCCTTTATTCGTGCAGACACGGGTAAAGTGTCTATTGTTCAAATAAGAAAAATTAGGACATGCATAAGTATAACATAAAATAAAAAATGATATTGTAACTTACAAAATGGCCAGCTACAAGAAAACTACATCCAGCTCCTTAATGTTGAGGAACTAAATAGTGTCCTTCTTATCAATAGTGAAGTCATATATTAAATCTGAACCTATAACCCCTAGTGGCATTTTAAAGGTAAGTGGATGCTCTATTTGTTGCATCATAGAATAAAGAACTGCTAAACTTCCATACATAAACTCAACGTTGGCATCAAGGGACTTGAGGACAGTAACTGGGTTCTTTGTCGCTTTTGTTGCCATCACTTTCTTTGTCGTTACTACTGGCTTTCCAACAAGTCTTCTTGGGCATAGAATGAAATTTTCTTTAGCTTGTGCCAGTAGTCAAACCTCATCAGTAGGATTGGGCACTGGTGTACTACCTTAGCCATGATGAACTTTATCCACTGTTACCCTTACTTGATCATTTGGAACTTTTTTGCCATGAATTATTGTGCATAAGAATGCTCGAACATTAGAAATGTGGTAAGGTGTACCTTCAGAGTCCACAAAGAGAGCACATGGTAGTCCATTGTCTTGGGTATTGTCAGGGCTAAGGTTAGGGTTAGACGGTGTCAGTTGTTACGTTTGATTATTACTACCTTGTCCACTCTTAATCATAATTGAACTCTGAAACATAGAAAGAAATTACTTAAGGCACATTAAATAAACTTTAACAGATTAAATAAACCTTGAGAAGATGTGATTATTACCTGTGATAGTT